AGATCCTTTTAAAATTATGTATCGGTACGATTTGGCAGACAGTAATGCTATGACAATTGCTCTTAATACCAATACCCGTAGACGCCAAAGGAATAGTATGGCTGAGCTATGCCCCTTGTATTCCAACCGTCTTCCCATAACTAAGGCAAAATATGACGACTTAATGAACCTGTGTCATACTGAAATTATTCCAGCTACGTATCACGACTTTTTCAGGCATTTATCTTTCGTTGCTGGCGTTAATAATAACGCTGAATTTTCTGATTCAGAATAGACATTAGTCTTTTCCAAATATTCCATTTATTTTTCTTTTTTCTATATTGCCTTTGATTAAGCCTCTCAGGTTTTAATATTGATCTCACAAAAATAATATTTATTTGTTTTACATTGTTTTAAGGCTCCCATAAAAGCTAATTTTAGGTTTGTTAGGTTGACAATTAACACAATTGTTTTTATTTTAAAATTTCTTTATCATTATTATAAACCAATAAGTACATGCCAAAAATTATGAATAGTTTCCAAATTACTACTTTGATTTTAAGCTGATCTCATATAAATGATTAATTAAGTTCATATTTTTATTTTTTATAGTGATGTTGATTTTTGTAATTCTATTTGATTAGTTCTTAAGAATACCTTACCTATTCTATAACTTTGTATTAAAAAGTCTTTTGTATGATTGTTATGTGTTAAAACGTTTTTGATTATTCAGCAAAAGAAGAAGTAATTTAATTAAGTTTTAAAAGCTCACTATTTTATTTTCAAAGATTATCTGATTAGCTTCTTAACACTGATGTTGTTTCTAATAAAAAAATTAACCTTAATAACATTTCTTTTTATTTATTAACCTAAAAAATTCATCACCTTCAAATTGTACATTTGAATTCTGTACCTAATATAAATATAATTACCACATACAACAGAGTAAGACTTATGTTTTTCAAAGTATACAGTTGTAACTATCATATACCACAAGTGATGCTATCTGGGCGCCGCGGTATAATGTTGTTAGTATCAGATGCAACAACTGGCATAGCTTCTACTCCGGAGTAAAATGTTGTATGAACAATATCTCCGCAAATAGACATATTACTTAAAATTTCTTTTAACGTAGTTAAGAAGACTAATTATATTACATTAAATACGAAATTTTAAAAAGATGCAACAATAAATGCAGATTTTGGGTTAATTTGAATCTTTGAAACGCTCTACTGTAAAATTGCAGTTTTGGAGATACGACAACTTACGTGGGAGGTATCGATTTGTATGAGGCAAAAACTTTACTTTCTCGAATATACGAAAGCGCAAAGTGCTATTTAGAAATAAGTCTTCAGACATCTTGGAACTCCAGCTTGCTCCTAAAATTATAACATTACTCAAGATTTTCATTTTAGTTAACATTCAAAGGGAAACGTTAGGGGAATTTAAAGTTACCTGCGCTGAGATAGATGAAAGTATAATTTCTGAAGCCCAGTGGCCATTTACAAGACTTCTCTGGATTTAAGTTTAATTATCTTTGGAGATTATCAAAAGTTTTGCCTTATTTGACATAAGTTTAAAGACTGATTTTTAATGGGTTATTGATCATCATCCCTTTTGAAGAAGGCGTTTTGGCAAAAACTTACCGATCACGATTGAGCATTCTGATAAACGAGCTAGGTCTGCATATCCATAGTTGCTCCCCTCACACTTTGAAATCGATTTTCATTTAGCTGTATAATTTAATTTTATTGTTGTTTTTATCTCTTCGTGTATTAATAATTATTCAAGAAGCAAGCATAACAGATATACACATATAGAATAAAAAAAAAAAATAAACAGTTATAATTAGAAAGGTGTCATTAAAGTTGATCACAGATAAAAAATAAGAGTAGAAAAAACAACTAAAATAAACAGAATACTAATAAGCGGTATTATCTATTTTTATAATATATATTCTATATTCATATCATCTATTGTCTATAGTCATCAGGGATGATGAACATAGACTACATTATGGAATATACTAAAGTTTTTTTAAGGTGAAGTGCTCGCGCATTTGATTAACCGACAATTAAATTAAAAAGCGCCATTTTACCGACGTATTTAATTTTCAATTCAAATCAGTTAGACCGTGGGTGAATTCCTTTACATATGTATATAATAAACATCGGATAGGCGTACGCGGCCGTCAGCGGAGCATAACCGTTTTTGTTCTATAACGAGGCTGGACTACATTATTATGGCGTCACAGTCGCGTCAAATAATACATCCGCCCATTTCAAAGTTTTACAAACGATCTTAGGCAGTTTAAATATAAGCGTCTTGAAGCGTTTTTGAAGCGTTAAGCGCAGATAGACGACAAGTCTTTGTTTTTAATTTATGTTAATATTATTAATTACTTAAGATGTCATGTGGAACATGGTGTAATGGTTGCAGCTCCTTACAAATGTTGTGTAAAAAAATGCCGATTCAAAAGAGTGGCGGAGAGTTTATTGCCAGTTCTTCTCTTCCGCTCTACGCCCTTGCTTTGAGATCTGGCACTAAATGTAAAGTTAGAAGCAATTCATATACATTTCTTTTTTTTGACGTTCATAAGTGTACATTGTGTTACCTATATGATTAAATGATTTTTGACTTTTGACTTTAACTTTATACTATTGACACGTTTACTGTAACAGTTTTACTATTCTAAAGAAAGTAGCAATGCGAAACATAATACAATGACGTCATGACATTAAAGATCTTGATCCATTCCTATGTTTTTTTTCTATACAGAACTGGACAGACGTTTGGCCACAATTCCACCTGATATTAAGTGAGATGTGGCCTATTGGAGGTCATGCCTATCCAGAAGATACCTATTAATATGTCACTTAAATGAACCCAAATTATACTGTTCTAGGGATGATGGAAGGGTTCAAGGAGCAAGTAAAAGCAACGAAAAAGCTAATCAAAAACCAAGTTTTATTTTAATTTATTACTTTTTGTACGTATGTTAGAATTACTTGAAGAATACGATAATAGAAATTGAAATTCACAATGACTAAAACGAACGGTGTATAAACTGCCTAAATATGAGATTTTATTTAAAACCGAGACGCACGTTAATGGATCCTTCAAAATTAGAACTCTAACAATTTAAATCACCTTAAGCAAATATAACAAATGGTAGGCAAACGTTTTCGTGACAATTTAATTCTGATGTGGGTCATACGTTAATTATTATGAAGGAATGTAGATTTTAATCTCGTTAGACAAAAGGGTTCTGTAATAGACAAAGAAATTCTGTTGGTAGACACTGGCAATATATAAAAAACAGGTCTGGCTATAGATAACTAAAAAGTAATAACGTAGTTAAGAAAATAAAAATATAACAGGACTGGCCACAGATAATTTGGCATTAAAACTTCGTTGAATTTTTTGAATTTGGAACGCTAAAAGTCTTTCGATATTCTGTTGACTTCTCAAGATATTACGCAATAAAAATACGTAAATTTTAATTAATAAAAGAACTTACGAACTCATCCCCTAATAAAAATTGTCTGGTTGTCTAATACTGCCAATCACACTTATAAATATTATGTCGTATAAATAACTAAAGATGTTTTAAAGTTTCATCGCGTTCATTAGTGGACACAAAAGCGACGTTATTTTAAGACAATTGTTAATGTATTTTAAAGTATCCGTGTTTTGATTGATGAATTGTTTTCTCCTATAATTTGTTGAATGCTATAAAAGGGGTTTATGTAAAACAGAGAGTGGCATTTGTTTGTATTAATTGAGATTGATGTTGGGCAGTCCGTTGTACCGCTTTCCGATTTGTTTACGTCAACAAATAGTATGTGTTAATTTTAGGTAAATAAATGTGATTGCTATTTTTCGCTTTGCATCATACATTTTTCAGTGTTGGCCTAGTGGCTTCATACCTGAAGTCGCAGGTTCAATCTCCGGCTGTGCACCAATGGAGTTTCTTTCTATGTGCGCATTTCACATTTGTTCGAACGGTGAAGGAAAACATCGTGAGGAAACCGGTACATGTCTAAGACCTATAAAGTCGACGTCGTGTGTCAGGCACTGGAGGCTGATCACCTACTTGCCTATTAGATTTTAAAATGATCATGAAACAGATCCAGAAATCTGAGGCCAACCCCTACAGAGGTTGTAGCGCCACTGATTTATTTTTCATTTTAACTTCCTTTGTTAATTTGTAATAAAATTTATTTATTAATATTGCTTTACACGCTACAATACAATACAAAACTAATATAAAAGTATCAAAACTTCACAGCCTCCTTTTTGCTGTTTCCAACAAAAAAATCTCCTTTGTAATTATATTCCCTAATACCCCAAAGCAAAAATCAAATTGGATAAAATGTGACATCTCGAATGTCTAAGCACAATCCACTTCAATGAATGGGCAAGCTCTGCGCAGACTTCATTAGAAGCTATTACACAAGGCCTAAACGCCCTTTACTTGATACGACTCATATCGTCACGATATAATTCACGATATCAATATTTCAGTCATGGCCTATATTATGATACACATACAATACTATTGAAGTCAATTATTCATCTGCTGAGTTACGATGTAAGCGTGTAATGTACGATGTTCTGCAGAAATTTCGGGCTCGATACCATTTTCTAAGTATGTGCGTTAAGTCATAAAAGTCAACAAATAAAAAAATATTTTATCGCTTTATTAAGCTTCAACCTTCCGACAGTTCTTCCTCAGAACAAGCCACGAGGGAAAGAAACTTTTCAATTGGCAGACCATAAATTTTGTTATAAAATGGTCTATGAAATATTAAAAAAAACTGTACATTTACTAGCTATTCTTAAAAGCAGAAATTTATGGGCGAGCGAATTAGCAGTAAATACCACTACTGTATGTTTGTTTGTATAGTATTCAAGATCCTATAACAACTAACATTCTAGCCCTTGACTTACCTTTACCATTAAATTGCGATACCGATTGCCGTTCCGATTTCAATAATACCGCCCACGACATCAGCGCTATGGATCGGTATCGCTTGGAAGGTACAGAGAACTCACATATAAACTACACATTAATAGTATTTTATTTTACAACTATTTTTGAAGTTATACTTCTTTAGGCGCGTTATGAAAAATTTATGAGAGTGAAATTTTACGATGCGCGCGCACCGTGACACAAAATTAACAGAATGAAGTTGCCCACGGTAGATGCTACGGCATTGGACATAATTTAAAACAACATTCGAATAATAATAGAATTTATGTTACACTTAATGTAAGAGAATAATAATAAATATTTATTTATTTAATTTTTCAAATGTAAACTGAACTTTATAGACTATAATGACTCCTTTTCCAGTCTTTGATTATTTAATTGTAATTAATTATTTGCATGCAATCAAAAACTATTTTTAATAACGCCAAAGAAATATAACTTCTTACGCGCGTACATAAGTACACGCACCCTTTTTTTTATGGTAATATTTACAATGTTTAAATATAGCTAAAACGGATTACACCATATACGAGACGATATAAACAAGACGTATGATAATGCATTGTAATGTATAATGTGTGAGGGTGTGTAAGTGTGCGAGTGTGCCATTTAATGTGATATTAAATATTCGATTTGCGTCGAAAAGACGCGTTTGGAGATAATATGGAATAAATCGAGGCTCGGGTACTCCTTATTATATAGATTTAAAATACGTGTAAGTATATTATTTCGAGCATATTTTGTTTGATAGTTATGGAATATGAAACAAGTCAGTATGGCGAGATTTATAATCTGGTCAAGTTCAAGCAATTCTGGGCTATTACCTATTCACTTTAGGCTTTATATTCTTCCCGTTTCCGTACCGGGAAAAGCTTCGCACTAATACTATTTTTGCATACGATGTTGGTGACAATCGTACCTTATAAAAGCGCTTACAATGAAAACCACGAACTAATCTCTTTTGTTTACATTTTGTACGAGAGCCAAATTTAAATTGCATTTAGTATCAAGAAAATGAAGGCAATGAGCGTGGACTTATCTTTGTATATTGTTATACTCGGATTCTAATGATACTATTTTTTATATTACGTAACAAATTCTCTGTTCCTCCTTGGCTTAATTGGTACAATACAAATATCCTGTCCTAGTTTCAATGCATGGTGAAGTCAAAATTGTTTTTAGACTTGTAAAAATTCGGGTTTGAATGCCTACCTCTAGCCCATGCACATAACATTTGATTGAAGATGAATATATAAGACAAGACAGAAAGAAATAAAGATTATAAAATTTAAATTTCCTGGACATTATAAAAAAAAAAAAAAGGGTGCGTGTACTTATGTACGCGCGTAAGAAGTTATACTTCTTTGGCATTATTAAAAATAGTTTTTGATTGCATGCAAATAATTAATTACAATTAAATAATCAAAGACTGGAAAAGGAGTCATTAAAGTCAATAAAGTTCAGTTTACATTTGAAAAATTAATTAAATAAATATTTATTATTACTCTCTTACATTAAACAAATAAAACACTATTTATCTTTAAAACATTTTTATTTCATTATACTATTTATTTTTAAGTGACTCTAATGTCTTCATCAGAATTTCGGTTTGTAATTTTAAATTAATCATTACTTGGTTGTGCATCTACGAGGCTTCTCCAAAACTACTTGCTTTCTGCAACAAATAAGAGAATATTAATTTAAGCTCTGTCCATGCAAAACTTAAAAATTTTTATAATTCATATTATAAATTTTTTAACACATTTATATTAATATAATTATATAAATGTGTTAATAATATAATTTGTAGCACATGCTACAGACCTGGATAGCAACTTTCTTTTATTCTATTTAGAGATAGAGATAATTTAAATATAATACCGGTGTCTTCCTTGTAGGTTTCTTTGGAGTTGTTTGGGGATTCTTGTTGTTCAGTTCGACATGATTTTCTTTAACCTTTCTTTAATCCTACAAAATAATGAAATTGTTAAGTTATGTTGTCACTGTTGTGCACACCTTTGTTTGGCTTTTTTAGTATTCAAGTTATGTCAAAACTGATTTATTACCTTGTCATTGTTGGCTTTATTTGCTTTTGGGATATCAATTGTTTCCAAAATGATTTTATTTGTAATAACCTGAAATATATAAATAACATCTATTAATTTAAGTATCATGGTGAGTGGTTCGCACTCAGGTATTAAGGTGTATTATACCCACTGTCCATTATAAGTGGGAATGGGCTCACTTCTGGCAGGACAGAGTTTCGGTACTACAAGTGCAACATGGATGTTTTGAGGTATTACAATATCTCTAACTACCCTGTAGGGGAATAAAGTAATGTTGTAAGCATATGCCTATGCTTGAAAGGTTGAACCTTGAACATCACCATACATCATATTTATAATTAACATTCCTACCTCGACACCATCACAATCAAATTCATTGAAATCTACTTCAAACCATTGTGTCTCGAGAAGGTGATGGTGGCTTTGTTCCACCTCCAGTTTTTGATGTTTCACGGCGATAAGATGACAACTCTTTTTTGTATTCAATTTAGTGCACTTCCACTGATTCATCAATTGTTTTTTGTCTCTTGTCCTTATATTTGCTAGATTAAATCTGATGTTTTGATTAAATAATGTGGTCATTTTTTTGAGATGCAGGTACTTATTAAAATGTTTACTTCTCTGTTATATCGCTCCAAGCCTTCATTTTCTCCTTATTAGTATTCGTGCTTAAATCTTTGTTCTCAATTATTGATATATAGGGTCGTAGAATATTTCTAAAAAGTTGCTGTAACAAACGCAATAAACAAAAGCAATGAATAATGGTTCATGTTTCAGTTTTAATCAACAATAATACTCGATAATACATACGGATAGTTAACCTCAATTGTATTGAAGCACTCAGGAAGGTTAGCACAGTTTTTTCACAAATATTTTATATTATTTCACAAATATTTTGTATAATGAAAATAACTAGGTATATAATTATTAATTTTAAACAATAATTAAAACTCCTATATTTGTTTAAAAGGTAAATGTCATTGTCAGATGTCAATTGTCATGGTCATTCAAAATTCTTGTTAAGCTGCTAAGCTAGAATATGCGTGAAGTTAGCTTCACGCATATTCTATTTCTTTTTACTTGTAGTTTGTCTTATTCCCATCTCGCTCGCGCACGCTATATCACACTGCCAATTTTGTGTCATAGGTGCGCGCGCAATCGTAAAATTTCACTCTCATCAATTTTTCATAACGCGCCTAAAGAAGTACAACTTCAAAAATTTTAAAGAAATGAAAGGAATATTTGAGTATGATTATTTATTTATTTACTTATTTACTAATGTATAAATACAGTCAATATCTGTTATAACGACATCGAATGGACTACTCATATTTGGTCGTAAAAACCGATAGTCGTAACAGCCGATGACGTTGTTAATATACAATAGAATTCAGCCGGGACCTTTGAGTTTGGTCAATATAACCGGTATATTGTTCTTAACGATGTCGTCGTAAACGGTTTTGACTGTATATCCGTCTCACATGCAATAATATCCAGGGCGCGCAAGACACGCGATGACATTATGTATAGTTGAGACTATCTACAAACACAAAATGAGATAATTAAATTAAAATAAAATTAGCCTAATTTAAATATATTATTATTAAACAAGACTCAAAATCCGGCTGGCAACGCACTCGCGAGCCCTCTGGCATTGAGAGTGTCCATGGGCGGCGGTATCACTTAACATCAGGTGAGCCTCCTGCCCGTTTGTCCCCCGTTCTATAAAAAAAAATCAAGAGACATCCTAATTGCATCACAGAATCAGTGCAGTGATCGCAAGGGTTGCTTGTCCACTGCGAGCGTACTGAGGACAAATTAACACTTTTTTTTTCACTTCACATTTTGACGACTTGGTCTAGTTGTCTTGGTCTAGTGGTTAGTACCCCTGACTATACATGGGTCCCGGGTTCGATCCCCGGCTGAGATAAACATCGATGCGATGAGCATTTGGTGTTGTGTTAGGTCTTGGATGTTTGAATATGTATTTATATGTCTATCTATAATATGTATGTATATCCGTTGCCTAGTACCCATACCACAAGCTTCACCAGCTTAGCATGGGACTAGGTCAATTGGTGTGAATTGTCTTTAAAAAAAAAAAAAAAACACTGCACACTACAATATCTTATTTTTAGCTTTGTTAAAGTCTTTCTAACTGATTTTTTTCCACTGTTTACGTAATATTGATATTGGCAGCTAGCGCGACTCTCGACACAAGGTCGTGCCTTAGAAAAAGGGCTGTGCACAATTATATTTGTAAGCCGTGAAACGACTAAAAACATGTCTTATACTCTGATTTTTAATTCCCTAGAATTCTGACAGCCATCATTTTTTGACATTTCAGAGATTACAAACCTTTTTGGTCTAGAGTCAACATCTGACTCTATACAAACATTGTGTTTGTTAGTGAATGTATCCATTTTATTAAGTGCTTAACATTAAAAGTGGTTTTACGGTGACTGATAATTACGTCCCTTGTCATCCAAACAGTAAAAAACGCACTAGTAAAGATACAAAAAAAAATTAAAAGGTTTACTAAACCTGGAATTAGTAGGCAGTGATGCCAGCTAAGAATAAAATAAAGTAATTAAAGTTAATTCGATATATTGTTCGTGATATTGAAATATTTGTTATTTTTGTATTAGGACACCTAAGTAAGTAAATATTAAGATTTACCTTTTTGTAGGTAAAACATAAACAATACGTAGCATTTTTTTTTATTGTCCTAAAATGAGTCAAATGTGTTCCTTTTTCGGTGGAGAACTTTTTTAGCAGCAACATTTATGAAATGTCAGAATTCTACGGAATTAAAATCAGAGTTAAGTGTATACAGAAACATGACTTAGAGCAAAGTTTGACTTGGATTTTGACATATGGCAGTCATAGATCACGCTGAGTCCTGTTTCTGAATCATGTGACAGAAACAGGACAGGTACAGAAGGTTGATCTTGTTTTTAGAAAAAAAATCAAGAAAGCTGTGGAAAAGGATTGTAGCGGCATTTGTTTTTATTACTTAAAAATGGCGTAAGTTTTGTGAAATATATAGGAAGTTTAATAAATGTTTATTTTACGCAATTCGTATAGTGTCTTAGCAATTAGTTAAGAGTAGGGATTAATTGCGCTATTAAGTTTAAACTGAACGTAATTTGCATTCAAAAAGCTTATAAAGATACCGACCATGTATTTAAAATGGAAGAATGGATGCGGAAAGCAATTTCAAGGATTTAAATTGGTGCTTCATCTTTTGCGTTTACAATCCTTTTCTATTTAACCACGTCTTGAAGTAGGAATAGGAAATACGTTTATGTTAATTTAATACTGCTATAGGTTCTACTTATGAGAGCCTTTTTAATTTGGAGTTCAAAATTCAAATACAGGGTAAAAAAAGTTTATAACGACTATTTTGGTTATTTTTTTCTCTTCTATCCCTATAACGAAAACTCTCTATAACGAAAAAAAAAATTCTGGGTCCCTTGAAATTCGTTATAAAGAGTTTACAATGTACTTATTAAATTTTAAGCTGATAAAATGATTCATAAATATAAAATAAATACATATTTACATATTTATTTTATGATTATGAATAAAATATGCAACGTAAACTTATTTTACAAATAACATAATACCTACTGCAAAACTGCAACCAAGCTTCGAAATATCGTTATAGTTTAATTAATTTACATACAACCATAATTAATTATAACTTTCAACCCTATACAATAACACTATCTACTGTTGAAAACATTTCAAACAGACTAACGGGGCTGGTAGTATATTAATTAACAATTAAAAAATTAAAAAATGAGTAGGTGGCCCTACAACCTTTTTAGGTCTGGGCCTCAGATGTCTGGGTCTGTTTCATGATCATTTGTCAATTTAATATGCAAGTAGATGATCAGCCTCCTGTGCCTGACACACGCTATCGACATTTTGGGTCTAAAGCAAGCCGGTTTCCTCACTATGTTTTCCTTCACCGAGCGAATGTTAAATGCACACATAGACAGAAAGTCCATTGTTGCACAGAATGATGACATCAGGGATGAGAACCTACGATCTCAGGGATGAGAGTCGCACGCTGAAGCTAGGTACTAGGCCAACACTGCTCTGTAATAATATTAATTAACAAACTCTTGGAAATAATATGTAAATACTTAGAGAAGAAACTATATTGAGTAGAAAGATAGAATGTTAAGGTCAAAGCCACAATTTCCGCATAATGTGAAACGATTCAAAAATACCGATGCACTATTAATTTAACGGATGCACTTCAATTCGCTATTCAATTGAACCCCAACCAACAAATTGTCTTGCTTTATGTGACATCGTTTTACTAGCTAATAATTGGCTATTTTGTTAAAAGCCGTTTCTTAGATGTGTGTTACAAGTAAACGCTATACATTTGTTTTTTAAGTCATTCACTTGTTTTTTGTGGAACCATCGACCCACTGAATTATTTTAAAACCAATTTGACTTAGGGTTCTTCTAGAAAAGAGTGTACTAATTCATTAAAGGCCGGAAAAACACTTGCGAGTCTTCTGATGATGTGCTTCTGAGCCTTCTATCTGTTTACCCTTGTTCTATAATAAAAAAGTTAGATGGCGTTTTAGATTTTGGTCTTATAAATATTTTACGTCTGGAACTCATAGGTTCTATATAACAAGTGTTAAATTATACACCAATCAACAAACCTATACGAGTATAAACCTTAGCTCCAGATTGGATGTTTCTTTTAAATAAAGATCAGCTTCTGTGCCAGACATAGGTAGTTTTTTTTAATCATGCCATTTCATTTTTTAAAACAATTGGTACATGACCGGAAAGTTACGTGATTGTTATTACTAAAGTTACCATAATTTTTATAAAACACTGTGCATCTTTAAGCCATGATATAAAAATGTCGATATAGTTTTTAAGCTATTGCAAGAAATTTTGTAACGAAAATAAAAACCTAACACACGATGACGTAATATAGGTGCGGCCAGTAACGTTAGAGCGGGACAGGACGCATACTGCGTATTCACATCTCTCTGACGAGATCGGTGACGTAGCGTAGAGTGTTAGAGTGAGACAGACTATATAGACGTGTTAGTCTGAGTCTGGTAGAGTGGTAGATTGAATTAGTATCAAACAAAAAAACTTGAATTAATATAAAAAAATAATACAAAATAATGCATAAATAAATAATTATAATTGCATAAGTTGATAAAAACTGCTATACAATAGCTTAACTACGGCAGTCCCCGAGTGCCAGACGTTTTTTTTTAATTGTCTAGCGATGATTTGATTTTCTAAGTACAATATAAAATTCAGGAAAAGCTGCATAAACTCCATAAATTCAATGAAATGAAATGAAATGAAATGAAATAGTTTATTCTTGCAAGTAGGACTATATAAATCACTTTTACAATGTCTTCCTAAACTAGATGAAGTCGACATTTCCTAACTGACTGCCCTGAGAAGAAATGTCGAAACAAACTCGGGGGTCTTAGTCTCTTTTATAGTCCAGATAATACAATAATAAATTAATAAGTTGGTGTAAACAAATGCAGAGTAATTTACTGGACTGGTCTTTGGAAGAAAGAACCAGATCGATCTGAGCAAGCCTGCGCCAGCAGACGGCTAGCATGCCCCGAATAGCTCATGCAGCTCAACCATTTTTGAGGGAGCTGCACAACCCGGTACACAACAATACCGCCAGAGGCACCATAAAGATATGTGGGGCAACAACTCACTCAGATCGCCAGCCCAAAATAACTATAGACTAAAATGTATCAAATTATAAATCAAGCAAAAGAGTTTATGATATACCCGCATAATGTTTACACTTACAATGGATACAAAATGTATATTTAAGGTGTACCTTAAAGCAAGGAAAAATAATTAAATTGAAAAATATAATCGTAATATAAACATTATTCACTTGGCATGTCAAAGTGTAAAATATTGTATGCAAAAGCACAAAACATGTCAGTATTGTAGAAAAGAAAAAATGAATATGCACTAAGCACAAAACATGTCAGTAATGTAGAGAAAAAAAATGTAAAAAAATGAATATGCACTAAGCACAAACATGTCAATAGAATAAAATAAAATGCATATGCAAAAGCACAAGACATGTCAGATTGTAAATATGTACAACATGCAAAAAAAAAAAAAAAAAAGAAGTGAAAGACAGCTTAAAAAAAACCACAAGCGATAGCTGTATAAGCGAGCAGCTCAATCCCAGGCGTTTCTATCATTTAAATAATCGGATATCCTGTAATATCCTTTAGTTAATAATTTTGATTTAATAAAAAATTTAAATTTCTTAAGGGGAAGTTTACGAACATCCATAGGAAGTTTATTGTAAAAGCGTATACATTGACCCATGAACGAGTTGCTTATTCTATGAAGGCGAGTAGCATGAACTGTTAAATTATTTTTGTTCCTAGTATTTCGGGAGTGAAGATCAGACAATTTGACAAAATCCGGTTCGTTTTTGTGAACATAAAGTAAATTTTAAAAATATATTGTGAAGTTACAGTCAGAATGTTTATCTCTTTGAATTTCTCTCGGAGAGAAACTCTAGGACCTAAGTTCAATAACTCAATAAACCAAGCTTGACAAATATTTTTTGTATTCAATAAAGTTTCTCTTTGTCCATATGTAAAAATATTATTTTAGGACTGGGTTTTGCGGGATGCGTATTTTTGTAATACAAGTCTCAATCCTTTGGTACGTTCTTAACAATTGAGCGTAAAATTATAATAAACCCTTTTAAATATCTTTCATAAATAATTATTTGAACAGTGCAGATGTATTTTTGCAACTTTTCCACTTAATGTTGTTTAATTTAAGTTACTAAATTGAGTAAATAAATTTTGATTTTATTATCGTTATTTTTGAATTATTTAATAATTACACTCACTGTGTGAAGTGACCAGTGGCGGATTTATAGATTTGCCGCCCGTAGGCTATTAAATTTTTGCCGCCTCTAAATTTTGATATATTAGTCCACAATCATATCAATTTTCTATTAATAAAATTCCAACTTCATAATTTGTGCTCCATCATCCTCGTTACATCAACTTTTCCCATATAGTTATTATTATTGAGAACTATGGTCGAAAAAAGAAGAAAGAAAACAGAAAAAAACTGAAATAGAAACTAAGTCTGAGACAAGAAAGAATCTGAAGAGTAATATTACTAAAAAAGCCACTAAGAAGCAAAGTGCAAATGCAAGGGAGCAAAGCAAAGTGAACCCAAAAGGAAAGAAAAAAACAGCCCACATAGTTAATAAAAGAATTCTTCAGGTGAAAAATAACAATAGCAGCAGTTCAGATTCTGATGTAGAGATGACTGACTTGCGTAAGGATGATGACACAGATATTGAAGAAAATTACGATTTGGAAAACAAGTGTGTTCTATGCGATGATTACGGGAGAAACAATGAGCTCTGGTACAGATGTGTTATTTGTGGGTTGTGGGCACATGCTGAATGTACGGGTAGTGACACACCTGAAAATTACATGTGTGATATATGTGTCAGAAAGCCTGACCGGGCTTAGACTTCGCTGACCAGCATTAAACTACGCTGACCGGCATAAAACTACGCTGACCGGCATTAGAACCGTGCTGACTGGAATTTCCCCTCCATGGAGTCTAACGCCGGTCAAAGACATTTTTTTTCTTATGTTGATTTTACCAAAAATACAATTACTATTGATCTCAATTTAAGTAATTCGTTAGAGGTTAAGACTATGTTTCATTTTTAAAAGTTTAATAAAGATAAGTTGATTATTTAGTGAGTTATTCTTTTTTGCCCTTAGGTGGCCGGTAATACCCACTCTTACCCTACCGTGTTAGATCCTTGATTATTTTTACAGCAAAGATTATCAAAAAACATTATTTTAAGGAAAAAATATCTCAATCGTATACCACTTTTAAAGTAAGGTAAGGTATGTCTTAAAACTATACAATACTTACAAAATATGAATGTCATGTCATGTCGTTTGTTCTGGCGTTACAATACAAATACGACTACGCAATTGCATGCCTTAAGTACGAAGCGCGTAGTAGGTATGCTCTACTCTTGCCTAAAAATCTAAATCCCATGTTTTCTCACATTAAACCGTACCCTAACAAATATGATGTACATGAATATTATTTAAAAAGCAACTTATCGGAAAGAAAAATGATCGCTGAGCTTATAAAAAATATTTTTTCGGTTATGATTAATTATTTTTTATTTAAAAGGAAGTAATTTTAGTGCCATATTGTATGGATTTTGGATGATCGTGTTCACAGTAAACACGATAACTTTCGAAAAAATAATTTTTTCACTTCAATTTTTTTTTTAAATACTTGTTTAACTGGAGAGAAGCCGTTGAATAAAAAATTGAGCTGAGTATTGTTTTATCTTATTATAATTAATTCATTCCGATTGGCATTTTCTGAAAAAGTTGGCTTTGCGAAAAAGTTATCAAATCTACTGATGTAAACATTTAATTTAAATAATTCGTGTACGACATGAGCGCTTAAGGCCTGCTCATTTGGATTTTCCAAACTTTTTCTTACTGCAAATAAAATAATTAACTGATAAAATGTATCAATTTTCTAATGAGCAAATTGTCTCACTTCATATTTTGTGGAGGGAATTTTTTTATTGTCAAGTCACAGTCGTTCAACTATCAGTTATTTGATTAATATGATCTCTTATATATGGAACTAGTTTTTAAAATCTTATATATTGAACTAGTTTTTTATTTAATAAAAATTAATCAATTTTAGTCAGTATTTTTATAAGACCATCGATATTATATCGATTGAATTGGGTAAGCAGATCTCATAATTATTAGGTACACGGAGAAAAAATTATAGCAGTTATCAGTGAAGAATATATGTAAAAATTACTAAATTTCGATTATTATATCGAATCGCGATATTCTAAAAGTTCATAATCATTCATGTATAATTAGTAAAGCGTTTAGGATTTGTTCATGCAGAGATGTTGAAATATTTATTAATTAGCACTGTATATGAGAATATTTCGATTTTTGTTAAATATTTTAATTTCTCTCCAATTTTCCAAATTCGTATTATATGTGTGTATAATAATTTTTTTTTTAAATTTGTACACCGAAATAAAAAATTTATGAACTAAATTTGCCGCCCCTAAAAATTTGCCGCCCTAGGCTCCAGCCTACTCAGCCTGCTAGTAAATCCGCCACTGGAAGTGACTATAACTTTAAGCCAGGAATATCGCATATGTGCCTAAGCACCGAATTACGAATTACGTAATAACATACAGTAACGTGCTTATTTCAACGGAAATTTGATTTTCAAGTATTTAAACTCCTTTACACTTGAGCAGTGTTGGCCAAGTAGCTTTAGCGTGCAAACCTGGGGTTGTAGGTTCAAACCCCGGCTGTGTGCCAATGCACTTCTTTCTATGTGTGCATTTAACATTAAACGATGAAAAAACATCGTGAGGAAACCGTCTTGCCTTAGACCCAAAAAGTCGACGGCGTGTGACAGGCATAGAAGGCTGATTACCTACTTGCCTTGTGTTGACGTCTTTATTATATTACTTTATAGAAATTAATGACATTTGCAAGTCTATTTTTATATGGCTGATTGTGCCGATTTTTATCATTGATCGATTTTATTGTACCACTTTCTTGCAAATAAATTTAATCAAAACCGGATTTAACACATTAAATCTTGGAGAGCATTATTTTACGATTACTAAATTCTTTAAATAAACTCTTTGAGGAAATTATTTTTTGGAAATGAATACCTTTTGTTTTCTAAATAAGGAAACTGCACCTGATAATGTATTGAGCTTTGAGGCTAATTTGCATAATCGACATTTCCACAGGTGCGATGCCTGATTTAAGGTTCCCGCCATGTGTCAGCTCCTTAAATGTATGGAGTGTTGCGAAGATTCTGCAACTGATTATAGTCTAAGAGATATATATATTTATTATAGCTGCCTCCGCGCGCTTCGTTTCGCCTTAATATGATTTTTATTTAGCTTACCTTTCTAGTAGCTACAAAGCAACATATATGGAACATTTTGCTATACTACACGATAGAGGCTGTTTGGTTTTCTGGAATTAAAAACCTAAGTAAGTACTTAACAAAACCTCAGAGTTCAAGGAATAAATACAAAAAAATACCCGAATTGGTCCAGTCGTCTTCGACTTTTGCGCTTATCCAAAATATTTTGCGATTTTTATTTATATAGATAATAGTATCATAAGATACGTAATACGTACAATGTTCATAAAGTACGTATGTATGTGTTTTAGAGAATTATACAATTCAGAATATAATTTTGTGAAAACCTTCAAACAAACAAAGATGAACATTTGAGATTACTCGAAAATGTAAATAATCTGACTGTTACTTTCCGATATTGTAATTAAACATAACTTTAGTAGTTCCCACCTCGTACTTCATGCAAGAACTTTCTGTTCTGTCCTTATCACTCCCGTTGTTGCAAATAATCGTAACAAAAAGTTTGACGTTTGAACTTGGAACGTTTATCAATAGGGTATTTAGCATCATCACCATTAATTACCCTTTCTATATATTATGAATTTATCCTATTATATTAGATATCACACGCAAATAATATCGTTATTAAAGTTTTATTACAAGCAAATGTCATCTCCTCACCTATACGTATTTATTGACTAAACAAGACAGGTCTTTGGCGCTTACACGAGCGGCTGCCGGTTAGTCTATCGTCTTCAATCTTTTTTTATCTCAAAGGCCTGAGCCTAAAGAGATAACTGATCTTTAACTTACTGACGGTAAAATAAATTTTATCGAGCTATATTCTTTCAATAAAGGAGCAATAAAATTCGATTTTATATTTTGTACACTTTATGTTTTGACTTCAAGGCTTTTACCGTATTGTATTTATTTACGGTTCATAGGTTAATTGATTAATTAAGTATTACTTCAGTCATATGAAAATGATTTATATAATAAAATAATCATCTGAAATTGTCTGTGACTGTCCTATCTGTTGATTTATAAAATTTCATTGTTTAAGTTTATAATTATAATCTATCATAAGAGATAATTTAATAGACGTTTCTGAGTATGACTGATATTGACTGGCGTGTATGATAAGCGCGATGAAAATACATTTATCACTGTTACTTAAATCATATATACACAGATACATATAATTGACATAATATGTCAATTATACAAGATTTAATTTTGCACTGTAAATATGTTTTTTTTTCAGCCCATGGACACCCATTTTTAGTGGGTGCGTTGCCGGTTTTTGAGGGAGGAGTATACTCCTAATTTTTTTTAAATATTCAATTCAAAAGTCATTTATTCTAGGTACAATTTGCACACTTATGCATGTCAATTTACGCCATCTCACTATCTTATAGCGGCATTAGTACCCACACGTTATCGTCTATGTATTCTCGAACTGTGTAATATCCTTTTTTTATTAGGGATTCCTTGATGTAAAGTTTAAACTTATGTAGCGGAAGTTTGGTTACATGATATGAAATTTTGTTATATATCTGTATACATTTTCCCATAAATGAGCAGTTTATATTATAGTTTATATTTTATTTATATAATTTATAGTTATGATAGTGGAGCTAAATTATAACGTATTTAAATGCTCTGTAGATACTTAATAGAAAGGTAACCCAAGTATTTATAGTAAGTTAATAACGATTCGATTTTTGGACTAAGTTCATTATTAGCGTACGATAGATGTTTGCCATAAAAAGTTGATAGGGTTTAGCGCACAGTCATTATTGAACAATGTTTCCAAATCGATAAATCTGGTATCAACTAACAGGATCTCAACTCAGCCTCCCACGATGATTGATCCTTGCGATACATTCTTTTGGCTTCTAAGCTGTAATATGTCCTGGATATTTCGTTAAAACTGGATTTGCTAAACACTTTCATTGTATTTTTTAACTCCTAATGGAATGAAGTTTTGTTACGACAAATTATGTCTGTGGTTATTATGTAATATGTTTGTGGATCCAGCTGCACACTGAAGTATTTCCGAACCAATTCGACTTAGGGTCCTTCAAGAAAAGAGCGTACCAATTCTTGAAAGGCCGGCAACGCACTCGCGAGCCCTCTGGCATTAAGAGTGTCCATGGGCGGCGGTATCACTTAACATCAGGTGAGCTTCCTGCCCGTTTGCCCCCCGTTCTATAAAAAAATATGTTGCTTGCCGATGGAGGTCAAGTCAAATATTAAAATATTATGTTTGTGTGGACAAAACAACTGTTGTTTCACAAATCTTGAATTGTGAAAATTGAACTGAGAGATTTTAAATTAGACACGACGATAAAGATATCAGAAACTATAAGGAAAAGTGCGCACTGTGAGTCGCTTTTAGAAAATAGCGACTTAAAAGTGAAGACTTATTTGGTCAAGACGGTACTGCTTTCTTATTTTCTATGATCTAAATGGTAAAGACGCGAAGCTAGGAAGAATGATGAGTGTAATCGATAGATTATAGTCAAGGCAAGTCTTTACTTCAACACGCACCCAATGCGGAAAG